TAGGACCTTATGTTGAGTGAGATTTGAGAATCACTGTACAAAATATAGGACTTTATGTTGAGTGATATTTGAGAATCCCTGTACAAAATATACCATCTCCTGTTGGCTCATATTGAGAATCAATCATTGCACAAAACATAGGACTTTCATAGATTGTAGCTGGGCACCCCACTATTTCACTGTAGTGAGTCTCATCTATCAGAGAACTTTCTAGATCTATGAGACTATAGGTGGTGGGATGGTTGGGGTGGTGGGAAGGTGGGGGTGGTGGGAAGGTGGGGGTGGTGGGAAGGTGGGGGTGGTGGGAAGGTGAGGGTGGTGTACTGGGACAGGATGTAAGCTGGACAAGATAAAGTGTGTGGGGGGGAGGGGGGTGACACTTTGACTGTAGTTTCTTCAGTTGCTCATATAGACGGGCTAGCCATTGGTCACGTGAACAAATCACAATCCTCAACCGTGACACACACATTAGCGTGACACACGTAAAGTCTAATTAACATGACTCACGCTAACGTGACAAATATTTCCGTCACACGAACGTGACACACACTAAAATCACACTGACGTGACACGTACGTCACACGAACCTGACACACACTAAAGTCACACTGACGTGACACAAAAGTAACACGAACGTGATAAACTAAAGTCACACGGAAGTGGATCCATGAATGACACGTCGGATTCCTCTCTTGTATCCGGTGTAAGTCTCACGATCTTAGATAAGGCTAAACTTTCTTTTCTAGCCCCGACTTCTATATGAATTAATTCTAACAACGACTTTTTAACAACTCACGATATTTGATAAGGCTAAACTTTCTTTTCTAACCCCGACTTCTATATGGATTTACTCTAACTACGACTTTTTAAAATGTATATGTACATTATATACGTACATGTAAAGAAAAATATATCCCCCTTGTAGAAATCTAACGCTAGAGAAATCTATTTTTGGCTGGAATCGACAGGGCCACAGGCGCTTTCATAGACCAGGGGAGATAAGTCTTAGCTCGCCCCGACCCCGCGTTCAAGATCCGCCACCCGAGTAAGATATTCCTGGCTCTCGTTGGCCCCACTTGACATGGGCCAATTCTTCTTTATGTGTGGCCACTCGTAGCTGTCATCGTGATGGCCCCTAATTTGTTGGCCTGTCGCAAGTGTAATCCTGATGGCCCCTAATTTCTTGGCCGCTCGCAAGTGTAATCCTGATGGCCCCTAATTTGTTGGCCACTCCCAAGTGTAATCCTGATGGCCCCTAATTTGTTGGCCACTCGCAAGTGTAATCCTGATGGCCCCTAATTTTTTGGCCACTCGCAAGTGTAATCCTGATGGCCCCTACTTTGTTGGCCACTCACAAGTGTAATCCTGATGGCCCCTAATTTGTTGGCCTGTCGCAAGTGTAATCCCGATGGCCCCTAATTTGTTGGCCACTCGCAAGTGTGATCCTGATGGACCCTAATTTGTTGGCCACTCGCAAGTGTGATCCTGATGGCCCCTAATTTGTTGGCCACTCGCAAGTGTAATCCTGATGGCCCCTACTTTGTTGGCCACTCACAAGTGTAATCCTGATGGCCCCTACTTTGTTGGCCTGTCGCAAGTGTAATCGTGATGGCCCCTACTTTGTTGGCCACTCACAAGTGTAATCCTGATGGCCCCTAATTTGTTGGCCACTCACAAGTGTAATCCTGATGGCCTCTAATTTGTTGGCCACTCGCAAGTGTAATCCTGATGGCCCCTAATTTCTTGGCCTGTCGCAAGTGTAATCCCGATGGCCCCTAATTTGTTGGCCACTCGAAAGTGTGATCCTGATGGCCCCTAATTTGTTGGCCACTAGCAAGTGTAATCCTGATGGCCCCTAATTTGTTGGCCACTCGCAAGTGTAACCCCGATGGCCCCTAATTTGTTGGCCTGTCGCAAGTGTAATCCTGATGGCCCCTAATTTGTTGGCCACTCGCAAGTGTAATCCTGATGGCCCCTAATTTGTTGGCCTGTCGCAAGTGTAATCCTGATGGCCCCTAATTTGTTGGCCTGTCGCAAGTGTAATCCTGATGGCCCCTAATTTGTTGGCCGCTCGCAAGTGTAATCCTGATGGCCCCTAATTTGTTGGCCACTCACAAGTGTAATCCTGATGGCCCCTAACTCACAGCCACCGTCTATGCATGCCGACGGAATAAGAATACCCATCGGGCGAAAGATCGAAAACCCTTGCAGGGGATAAAAGAATGATAGCCGGCTTCTATAGGTCCCCTCTAACGGGACTGAGGGGATTGTATTGGCTGTCGATCCCTTGCCCCCCAGACAACCTCTCATTCAAACACCGGGATTAATCGCGGCTTCCGTCAGGAATTCTGGGAAGCGTGGATCTCATGATACTAAATGTTTATTGATCGCTACGGGCGCTAAGCTTTCAGCGTCTTACATACCCAACTGGTGTGTCTGACACGGGGGGGTTTAGGGTAAGATGGGGGGGGGGGGGGGGGGGTAAGATTAATTACTGATTATTTTATCTGTGGCTTTGTGTATATCCCCTTGGTAATCTTTCTTTCTTTATTTTATTTTTTTGACGGCTTGGGTTTTTTGTTTAGCTGTACGTGTTGGCAGATTTTAGTTTCGTCTCCATCCAATCGGTTCTAGTTTTTATTAAACCGGCTAATATATCTCATCCACGTTTATGCCTAATACAACCAGCGTAGTAAAAGTGTTAACCTAGTACGGCTTTAGGTTTATACTAGAATATCTAGCCCATAAATGCTCTCAGCATTAAGCAAAAACTGCGAAAACTGGCCGAATTACAAAAAAAACAAAAAAACGTATAACACCATAGTCAACATTTCCATTCGCTCCTACAGAGGTTGGGCATCACACTTAAGCTTTTCTGTTCGTTACGCAGCACCATTATCCCCAGCTATGTGTTTGTGTGACCCAAGTTGATGGGACCGCATCTTGATGGGGTCTTATATTGATGGGGTCGTGTAACCCACCTTGATGGTGTCGGCCTATAGTTCTCGTCGCCACGACTTACGTCTCGTCAGTTCACGTGTAACCTCACATGAGTTCGTGTAACATTTCGTATAATCACGTGTAACATCTCGCAAATTCACGTGTAACATCTCGTGAGTTCACGTAACATCTCGTGAGTTCACGTAACATCTCGTAAATTCACGTGTAACATCTCGCAAACTCACGTAACATCTCGCAAATGCACGTGTAACATCTCGTGAGTTCACGTGTAACATATCGTGAGTTCACGTAAAGTAAAAGTTTCCCTTTCAAACCTGACGGTCTATGGGGCAAGTGAAGTAGAGTTCACTTAGTTCACGTAACATCTCGCAAATTCACGTGTAATCAGAGTTTCTTCCAGGCATCTCTTCGTGTAATATCTCCCAAATTCACGTAACATCTCGCAAATGCACGTGTAACATCTCGTGAGTTCACGTGTAACATCTCGTGAGTTCACGTAACACCTCGCAAGTTCACGTGACATCTCGCAAATTCACGTGACATCTCGTAAATTCACGTAACATCTCGTAAATTCACGTAACATCTCGTAAATTCACGTAACATCTCGTAAATTCACGTAACATCTTGTGCGTTCACGCAACATCTCGTGCGTTCACGTAACATCTCGCAAATTCACGTGTAACAAGTTTTACATTATGTATGAGCTGAATCCGTGCAACGACCAGCGATTTTCCAGATCACGAACTGATCCAACTCTAGTGTATACTTTGTGCTAATTAACCCCCTTGAGTCTCGCTACCGTGCTTGCTTCTCTACTTGCATATTCACGAATGTCTGCCTAGTTTCATCCTGTTTGTCTGAATGGCAGATTTCCCCCTCAAAGTGTTTGCTAAATTATCTATATTTTTGGCTTATGACGATCAAGGACATGACCAAAAAAATGGCTGCTAGTTTTGGATGTGATTTCCCTCCCACTTGCATCCCCCCCCCCTCAACCCTCTACCCTAAAACTAAAAAGCTCGATGTGGATGATGCTCTTATATCAGTTGTCTTTGAGACTAGATGTGTGAGATGTTGCCCAAAGTTTAGGACTAAGTTTAGAGGGTTCACGTTAGCCAAGTTTATGGCGTCCATCTATTTAATTATATGCTGGAACAACATACAACCAAACATATCAAAATCAATGTGTTACAACTGCTACATTTTATAAGATGAATATAAAAACTTCTGTAATAACCAGCTGTAAAAATGTTAATGCACTCAGAAAAATTAAACAAAACAAGTTTTCTTTCTTTGGAAAAATCGTTGATCTCTTATGAAATTCCCTGATACATTTTGCTGTCAACACATTTACTAAACAAAAAGGAAGTTGTCTTTATTTAATTTTTTTAGCCTTGAAATCGTGTTATGTTGGAGGTTTTTATATTAATTGTAATTTTCTCTACCCTCCCCTTTCTCGCTGTCGCCACACCTCAGGAGTCACAATAAGTCTGCCTCCTCTTAGCCCCCCCCCCCCCCCCCCCCCAACTCCCCCATCCCATCTTTACTCCTCCTAACCCCCCCCCCCCCCCCCCCCCCCATCCAATTTTTCAGTCGTCACAAAACTCCCATACCATATTCTGTGTGACGTCATTTATAGAGAATCCATAATCGATAACAATTCTTATCTCTTTTAAAAGATGGTGATATGTTATTATCAAAGAACTGTTCAATGCTAAAAGTTTATTTCGCCTTTAAAAAAATTCCAAGATTTTAATGTATCCTCCCGGCTGTATAAATAATTTTAACATTTTAATTTATTCTCTTAACTGTATAATAGTTCAACATTTTAATTTATCCTCCCAGATGTATAAATAATTCCAAAATTTTAATGTACCTTTCAACTGTATAAATAGCTCCAACATTTTAAAGTATTCTCTTTATTGTAAAAATAATTTCAACATTTTAGATTATTCTCTCAACTGTATAAATAATTTCAAGATTTTAATGTATTAACTCAGCTCTATAAATAATTCCAATATTTTAATGTGTCCACCCAGAGCGATTAATATGAGAATAGTGACAGCTCTGCTGCTTGCAGTGCTGCTAAGTCTAACCTTGACCCTAGTTGAGGGTCGCAGGCGTGACAAGTCTTGGCGTGACGGACGGGACCGCCTCAGACAGAAGGATGTCCAGCGAGATCGAGGCAACAAAAACAAGGAGCGGAATCTAGAAGCGAAACAACCTTTTGGGAGATCTCGGTAAGTAGTCCTTACCATTCTGTACCCAGAAACAGGTTTTATTGATCAGGGCCGTCTATATGCATTGACTGGATGGGCACGGAGGCTCCGTGAGCACGGGGGGGGGGGGGGGGGCATATTTTATAGATGAAATCAAATTTAGTTTCCCTCCAACTTTTTTTTAAACAAATGAACGTTTTAATAGAGTAAAAAGTATCAGAAGCTTGATTCTAATAGGGCCCCAATCTAACAGCTTTTTGTAGGATCCCAGGTCAGCATCGTCTCCTGGTATCCCAGGTCTACAGCATATCTTGTGGCCCCTGTACATGCCATTGTGGTCCCTGTACATGCCCTTGTGGCCCCTGTACATGCCCTTGTGGCCCCTGTACATGCCCTTTTGGTCCCTGTACCTGCCCTTTTGGTCCCTGTACATGCCCTTTTGGTCCCTGTACATGCCCTTTTGGTCCCTGTACATGCCCTTATGGCCCCTGTACATGCCCTTGTGGCCCTGTACATTCCATTGTGGCCCCTGTACATGCCCTTGTGGCCCTGTACATTCCATTGTGGCCCCTGTACATGCCCTTGTGGCCCCTGTACATAATCTTGTGGCCCCTGTACATGCCCTTGTGGCCCCTGTACATGCCCTGGGGCCCCTGTACGTGCCCAGTGTTTCTTCCAGACTTTTTTCTCCGGGGGGGCACTTGAAATCTTCGGGGGGCGGTAAACTTTCTTCGGGGGGGGCGGACACTGTTAAAAGTATATATTTTCTATATAAATTATATAAATTTCATTTCGTTCGGGGGGGGGGCGGTAAAAAATTTTCGGGGGGGCGATGCCTGGAAGAAACTCTGTACGTGCCCTCTGGGTCCCTGTACATACCTGTAAACTGCCAACGTATTCACCAATTTCGATACTTAAGCTCTTAGTTTAAAGCCAATATTAGGGCTCTAGTTAAGCTTTTTGGATGTAATTAAAGATAGGGATAGATTTAGTAATGTTTCGCTATGGACTATGATGTTAAACAAAAATAGTGGGCATGGTAGATCAACAAGAACATGCCGTGTGTGAAATATCTATGACAAAGACCTTTGAGTCAAGAATTGTATACCAGCTGGCGGTGTTCACAATAACCCAACACGGCCGTCGTTCATTGGTCGTTGTCTAGTCACGGAAACACCGGAAACTGCCGAGCGTTTCCGACAGCTGATGTTCGTAAATAACCATTTATCACTCAAGTGTGATGTATGTGGTGTCAAACCAAATATTAATGTTCATACAAGGTGCAGGGTGTTGTTCAGTGGCGTAGGCAGGGGGGGGGGGTTAGGGGGGGGGTCATAACCCCCCCCCCCCATAGACCCCTCGGTATATATAAAAAGTATGAGGGGGGTGCAAATCTAAAGTTTGAGGGGGGGGGGTGCAAATCGAAAGTTTGAGGGGGGGGTGCAAATCGAAAGTTTGTCCCCGGGTAAAAATTGGACCCCCCCCTTGAAACGATCCTGGCTACGCCACTGGTGTTGTTGGTCGTTGGTCGCCATGGTGATGCTGGTTGTCTCGCAAGAGACTTGATCAAGCAACCCTCTTTTTAAACGTCGATATAACTTTAATACACAACAATAGTGTAATGGAAGAAACTTCAAAATGTCGAGGGATTGTATCATAAAGCTAGACTCTCCCCTATCTCCCTAAAAATCCATATGGCTAACAGAAATTAACGTGTTTTCATCATTTTTGTCGATTTCCAAGTTCTCAAAAAAACTAACAACAAAAAGTACGCGCCACACTTCTTAGTTCTCGTGACTGTCCCTCGTCACACATCGTCACAGTCATGCAGCCCCCCCCCCCCCCACCCCGCACTTTGTCAGGTGTGTGACGTCATTCATGGACGGTACCCACGATAAAACATGAAAATATCTCTGTAAAGGAATGTTGTTTTTTCTGGTGCAACAGTAAAGAAAACCACCTCTACAGCCCCTATAGCCATCGGTACAGATAGTCACACATCTGCCTCGTATATCTGCCTCGTATATCTCCATGTTTTTGTTACCCTATCGCGTGTTGATACACGCCCAGCTCATTAATTCACGGACATTAATTAATTTACTCTTGGCAATGGTCAGGATATCGTCACCTCGGCCAGGGCTATAAATAATCCACGACTGCTGTCGCTTGGGGGTGCCATTAGGGGCGGGGTCAGTCGGGATTGTGGGTAATTAATGCAGACGGCCGACACCATATTGAAATATAGATGCGATGTACACAGTCTGTGTTGGGACGAGGACCAATAGGAACACATCTCTCAAGGTCATGGTGACGTCACTGCGTGCTGTGTTGTAACGATAGGGCATCACGCACGTAAACAAGTCTTATTTTTGACACTACTCTACCCCTAAATGGTTATTTAACAACTATTGATCACACCCCCTTAATATGTTCTCCGCCCACACCCCTACCCTCAACTAACACCTTACGTCGGTGCTAATTTTAGTTATGTTGAAACGCTTGCTACCATCATCTTACGAATAATTTGAGTTTAGACCTTAACATTTTCCGGATGGGCGGACACTCTATGTATTTTGTATATAAATTATATAAGTTTGAGGGGGGGGGGTGCAAATCGAAAGTTTGAGGGGGGGGGTGCAAATCGAAAGTTTGAGGGGGGGTGCAAATCGAAAGTTTGAGGGGGGTGCAAATCGAAAGTTTGAGGGGGGGGGGTGCAAATCAAAAGTTTGAGGGGGGTGCAAATCGAAAGTTTGTCCCCGGGTAAAAATTGGAACCACCACTCCCCCCCCCCCCCCTTGAGACGATCCTGGCTACGCCACTGAAGCCGACAAGACCATAATGTACCCTAGTATTCGCCAGTTACGTCTAAACATTGTGAAAGTGTTGGGATGTGTTGGTGGTTGCATTGTCTAACACCGTCAACCTTTTACCCAACGCTCCTAGAAATTTGAATAGTTCCAAAATAGACGGTATTTGAAGAAACAGTCGTCAAAACATAGCTTGGCTGCCACTCCTGTCCCATAGAACATAATACACCACCCCATTTTCCTAATGTAGGTTCTATAATATGATGTGCTTGTCTTTTGAAAATGTTCCATGATATAAGAAAACAAGTTTAAAAAAGTCTAGTGACAATTTAAGCGCAATTTCCTTATTTTGTGACCGAACGAAAGGATATTTTTGAAAACTTTCTTCGGCAATATTGTTCTAAATTATGGCAGGAATCGATTGGTAAATGTTTCAAGTCGCTAAGTGGTCTGGTTGCCGAGATTTGGGCCAAAAACTGCATTTTTTTCGAGGTTTTTTGGCTTTTCCGGGAAATCCAGGAAGGAATTCCGGGAATTTTTTTGGCCCACAATCATCCTCGGATATTTGCTTTTGGAACTAGTCCTCGATATTGCTTCGTTGAGGAGGAGATACGACTTAAAGCTGCGGACACACATCCATCCATCCATCCATCCAGAAATAACGAATTAATAATCGCAATTGTCAGTATGGAAATTGCGCTAAAAATTAATAAGTATCGGTACCAGCACATGTCGATATCCAGCCAGAGTAGGCATATAGAGGAGAATATTGAAACAAAAGGAGAATATGGGGGCCAGCCTATCAAGAGGCTTTTGGTAAGGGAATATTTCGTTCAGGCAACATTGAATCGAATGTGTTACTTATTTAGTCACAAAGTTACAGGAATGCGCGACTAGTTTAACTATCATGTTATACAAATGTGCAACTAGATATTTTTCAATGTGACGTCACTCTAATTAGCCCCATGTGCTCCCTGTTATAATTGTACAATACATTTTAAAAGGTTTTGACTATCTGAATTGTCTATATCAAGACCGTACTTTTAGCACGATAACTATTTGGTAGATCATTCCATTTTTATCATGAGGGATGTCGGAGTTGGGGGGGGGGGGGGGAGAGAGTAACAATTAGAGGCATTCTAAAAATGTGACCTATTTTATAACAGACTTATCAAAATCAACTTCTCTGTAGATTAAATAGGCCTAAGCAGCGATCTCCCAAGGCTAAGCCAATCAAAAACCTTATCCAGTAACGTTAGTCGTCTGACACTTTGACCAATCAAAACAAACTACACTTCTGATATGAGGAAATCCCGGGCTCGAAACTTAGTTGATATTTGGATTAATATTTTAGTAGCGATAAAACTTGAGAATTGCTTGGATTGAAAGATATCTGGTTTCCCATTTTGAATTTATTTTTATATATTTTTTTCATTAGATATTCGTTATTTATTCAAAATGTGACTTTTCTCAAATGTTAGGTTATATATTTTTATTTTATTTGTCGTGACGTTTGTTCTAATATTTGTTGAAATGTTTTTAGGGCTGTCTGATGTTCTGTAAATATTCTCCTCAAAAAACCTTTCTACGACTTTCTAATATTTGTTGAAATGTTTGTAGGGTCTAAATGTTGTTTGAATATCCTCCTCAGAAATCCGTTCCACGATTTTCTAATATTTTTTAAAATGTTTGTATGGTTGTCTAATGTTGTTTGAATATTCTCCTCAGAAATCCGTTCCACGATTTCTTCACTTCCTTCCATGAGCTCGACCCATTCTCTTACTTCAACTTCCGGTGGAATGTGGAGTCCCGGGCTGACCCCTGGTGGGAGGGGTAAGTTGTATTACACTTATTGTTAATTTTAGAGGTTTTTTTGTCGCAAATCTTGTTGATATTAGGGGAATTTCATGAAGCAAATTTTTCTAAATTTTATCGGAATATGTTTAGCAAATATTGTTGATTTTAGGGGAACTTTGTGTAGCGAATCTTGTTAATCTAATGTTTTATGCACTCATTTCATACATATAATGTTTAGATACAATTTACGCATGAAATAATGAAGGAACGCAAATGTTTAGTTCCTATACGTTCTACATTCATACCTCTTTATAACCATGCTAAAGGCCATAAAGAAATGGCGTGGCCTAGCGGTAGAAACTAAACTGCTAACCCGAAAGTCTTGAGTTCGAATCCGGGTTCAAGTCAGTGGTACGTATCTGAGTCCACTCAGCTCTGATGGGTACCTAACTCACATTAGGGAAAATAAAGGCGACTGGGCATTGTGCTGACCAAACAATCCCTTAATATGCGACACAATCCCTTCATATGCGGAGGACTCTGAAACAGATTAACTCTACTTCATCTGCCCCGTGTGTGATGATGATGATGATTTATGATAAAAGGCCATAATGTAATATTCATTTTAAATATAGCATAGGCCTATTCGGTCCTATTTTAGATCAATATATGACGAAGCTTCTAAAAGAACGGACCTCAGTAATTTAAAACACCATTACTAGATTCTGTCGATTCAAGTGAATGTGATCTCCCTTTGTGTCCTACAATTTCTGATGCCAAAAAAAAAACGATTTTTCACAAAACCGTTAAAGCTGACCACTGAATGTCTGGACTGTCTGAGATATTCGTGATGTCTGACATGATACCTTGTATCAAGTTACTGTCTAGGTCTACAATGTATCTTGGTCATCATTAAAGTTGGTCTTTTTTTCCCAACATGGTCATATTCTGTAAAAATAAACTTTTTGTTCTTTAAAGCGGGGAAAATTTCAACCGCCGTCAATTTAAATTTTAAAATTATTTCACTCAGTGAGGAAAAATATATTTCTATCGATTCCTTCTTATTGGCGCTGATCATCTCGTATGTCCAGTTAAGTTCAAAGTACAGGCGTTTAGAAATATGGGAGCTAGCACACCTTCAAACTTTCGTGCAAGCCCAGTTTGAAACTTTAGTGTAAGCCCACCTTGAAACTTTAGAGCAAGCCCACCTTGAAGCTTTCGTGCAAGCCCAGTTTGAAACTTTAGTGTAAGCCCACCTTGAAACTTTAGTGCAAGCCCACCTTGAAACTTTAGTGCAAGCCCACCTTGAAACTTTAGTGCAAGCCCACCTTGAAACTTTAGTGCAAGCCCACTTTGAAACTTTAGTGCAAGCCCACTTTGAAACTTTAGTGCAAGTCCACCTTGAAACTTTAGTGCAAGCCCACCTTGAAACTTTAGTGCAAGCCCACCTTGAAACTTTAGTGCAAGCCCACCTTGAAACTTTAGTGCAAGCCCACCTTTAAGCTTTTGTGCAAGCCCACCTTGAAACTTTAGTGCAAGCCCACCTTGAAACTTTAGTGCAAGCCCACCTTGAAACTTTAGTGCAAGCCCACCTTGAAACTTTAGTGCAAGCCCACCTTGAAACTTTAGTGCAAGCCCACCTTGAAACTTTAGTGCAAGCGCACCTTGAAACTTTAGTGCAAGCGCACCTTGAAACTTTAGTGCAAGCCCACCTTGAAACTTTAGTGCAAGCCCACTTTGAAACTTCGTGCAAGCCCACCTTGAAACTTCGTGCAAGCCCACCTTGAAACTTCGTGCAAGCCCACCTTAAAACTTTAGTGCAAGCCCACCTTGAAACTTCGTGCAAGCCCACTTTGAAACTTTAGTGCAAGCCCACTTTGAAACTTTAGTGCAAGTCCACCTTGAAACTTTAGTGCAAGCCCACCTTGAAACTTTAGTGCAAGCCCACCTTGAAACTTTAGTGCAAGCCCACCTTTAAGCTTTTGTGCAAGCCCACCTTGAAACTTTAGTGCAAGCCCACCTTGAAACTTTAGTGCAAGCCCACCTTGAAACTTTAGTGCAAGCCCACCTTGAAACTTTAGTGCAAGCCCACCTTGAAACTTTAGTGCAAGCCCACCTTGAAACTTTAGTGCAAGCCCACCTTGAAACTTTAGTGCAAGCCCACCTTAAAACTTTAGTGCAAGCCCACCTTGAAACTTTAGTGCAAGCGCACCTTGAAACTTTAGTGCAAGCCCACCTTGAAACTTTAGTGCAAGCCCACTTTGAAACTTCGTGCAAGCCCACCTTGAAACTTCGTGCAAGCCCACCTTGAAACTTCGTGCAAGCCCACCTTAAAACTTTAGTGCAAGCCCACCTTGAAACTTCGTGCAAGCCCACCTTAAAACTTTAGTGCAAGCCCACCTTAAAACTTTAGTGCAAGCCCACCTTGAAACTTTAGTGCAAGCCCACCTTGAAACTTTAGTGCAAGCCCACCTTGAAACTTTAGTGCAAGCCCACCTTGAAACTCCGTACAAGCCCACCTTGAAACTTCGTGCAAGCCCACCTTAAAACTTTAGTGCAAGCCCACCTTGAAACTTCGTGCAAGCCCACCTTGAAACTTTGTGCAAGCCCACCTTGAAACTTCATGCAAGCCCACCTTAAAACTTTAGTGCAAGCCCACCTTGAAATTTAGTGCAAGCCCACCTTGAAACTTCGTGCAAGCCCATCTTGAAACTTCGTGCAAGCCCACCTTGAAACTTCGTGCAAGCCCACCTTGAAACTTTAGTGCAAGCCCACCTTAAAACTTTAGTGCAAGCCCACCTTGAAACTTAGTGCAAGCCCACCTTAAAACTTTAGTGCAAGCCCACCTTAAAACTTTAGTGCAAGCCCACCTTAAAACTTTAGTGCAAGCCCACCTTAAAACTTTAGTGCAAGCCCACCTTGAAACTTTAGTGCAAGCGCACCTTGAAACTTTAGTGCAAGCCCACCTTGAAACTTTAGTGCAAGCCCACTTTGAAACTTCGTGCAAACCCACCTTGAAACTTTAGTGCAAGCGCACCTTGAAACTTTAGTGCAAGCCCACTTTGAAACTTCGTGCAAGCCCACCTTGAAACTTCGTGCAAGCCCACCTTGAAACTTCGTGCAAGCCCACCTTAAAACTTTAGTGCAAGCCCACCTTGAAACTTCGTGCAAGCCCACCTTAAAACTTTAGTGCAAGCCCACCTTAAAACTTTAGTGCAAGCCCACCTTGAAACTTTAGTGCTAGCCCACCTTGAAACTTCGTACAAGCCCACCTTGAAACTTCGTGCAAGCCCACCTTAAAACTTTAGTGCAAGCCCACCTTGAAACTTCGTGCAAGCCCACCTTGAAACTTTGTGCAAGCCCACCTTGAAACTTCATGCAAGCCCACCTTAAAACTTTAGTGCAAGCCCACCTTGAAACTTTAGTGCAAGCCCACCTTGAAACTTCGTGCAAGCCCACCTTGAAACTTCGTGCAAGCCCACCTTAAAACTTTAGTGCAAGCCCACCTTGAAACTTCGTGCAAGCCCACTTTGAAACTTTAGTGCAAGCCCACTTTGAAACTTTAGTGCAAGTCCACCTTGAAACTTTAGTGCAAGCCCACCTTGAAACTTTAGTGCAAGCCCACCTTGAAACTTTAGTGCAAGCCCACCTTTAAGCTTTTGTGCAAGCCCACCTTGAAACTTTAGTGCAAGCCCACCTTGAAACTTTAGTGCAAGCCCACCTTGAAACTTTAGTGCAAGCCCACCTTGAAACTTTAGTGCAAGCCCACCTTGAAACTTTAGTGCAAGCCCACCTTGAAACTTTAGTGCAAGCCCACCTTGAAACTTTAGTGCAAGCCCACCTTAAAACTTTAGTGCAAGCCCACCTTGAAACTTTAGTGCAAGCGCACCTTGAAACTTTAGTGCAAGCCCACCTTGAAACTTTAGTGCAAGCCCACTTTGAAACTTCGTGCAAGCCCACCTTGAAACTTCGTGCAAGCCCACCTTGAAACTTCGTGCAAGCCCACCTTAAAACTTTAGTGCAAGCCCACCTTGAAACTTCGTGCAAGCCCACCTTAAAACTTTAGTGCAAGCCCACCTTAAAACTTTAGTGCAAGCCCACCTTGAAACTTTAGTGCAAGCCCACCTTGAAACTTTAGTGCAAGCCCACCTTGAAACTTTAGTGCAAGCCCACCTTGAAACTCCGTACAAGCCCACCTTGAAACTTCGTGCAAGCCCACCTTAAAACTTTAGTGCAAGCCCACCTTGAAACTTCGTGCAAGCCCACCTTGAAACTTTGTGCAAGCCCACCTTGAAACTTCATGCAAGCCCACCTTAAAACTTTAGTGCAAGCCCACCTTGAAATTTAGTGCAAGCCCACCTTGAAACTTCGTGCAAGCCCATCTTGAAACTTCGTGCAAGCCCACCTTGAAACTTCGTGCAAGCCCACCTTGAAACTTTAGTGCAAGCCCACCTTAAAACTTTAGTGCAAGCCCACCTTGAAACTTAGTGCAAGCCCACCTTAAAACTTTAGTGCAAGCCCACCTTAAAACTTTAGTGCAAGCCCACCTTAAAACTTTAGTGCAAGCCCACCTTAAAACTTTAGTGCAAGCCCACCTTGAAACTTTAGTGCAAGCGCACCTTGAAACTTTAGTGCAAGCGCACCTTGAAACTTTAGTGCAAGCCCACCTTGAAACTTTAGTGCAAGCCCACTTTGAAACTTCGTGCAAACCCACCTTGAAACTTTAGTGCAAGCGCACCTTGAAACTTTAGTGCAAGCCCACTTTGAAACTTCGTGCAAGCCCACCTTGAAACTTCGTGCAAGCCCACCTTGAAACTTCGTGCAAGCCCACCTTAAAACTTTAGTGCAAGCCCACCTTGAAACTTCGTGCAAGCCCACCTTAAAACTTTAGTGCAAGCCCACCTTAAAACTTTAGTGCAAGCCCACCTTGAAACTTTAGTGCTAGCCCACCTTGAAACTTCGTACAAGCCCACCTTGAAACTTCGTGCAAGCCCACCTTAAAACTTTAGTGCAAGCCCACCTTGAAACTTCGTGCAAGCCCACCTTGAAACTTTGTGCAAGCCCACCTTGAAACTTCATGCAAGCCCACCTTAAAACTTTAGTGCAAGCCCACCTTGAAACTTTAGTGCAAGCCCACCTTGAAACTTCGTGCAAGCCCACCTTGAAACTTCGTGCAAGCCCACCTTGAAACTTCGTGCAAGCCCACCTTAAAACTTTAGTGCAAGCCCACCTTGAAACTTAGTGCAAGCCCACCTTAAAACTTTAGTGCAAGCCCACCTTAAAACTTTAGTGCAAGCCCACCTTAAAACTTTAGTGCAAGCCCACCTTAAAACTTTAGTGCAAGCCCACCTTAAAACTTTAGTGCAAGCCCATCTTGAAAAGTTTGGCTTGAAACATTTGAGCTAGTTGATTTCCGGGCTTTCAATATACCCATTGTCCACTCTCTTGTCCAGAGCATCTGTTCTAACCCATACGACTTAGAAATTCCTCCACTAACATGTCCACTGATGATTCCTGGTTTCCCACAGGCCAAACGTGTGTGAGAACGAGATCAAGGAGGTGGTCAACAGCACGGAGGGCGTGGGTGAGATGATGCGACACTTCAGCACTAACTTCCAGTCGTGTGACGAGTCGGAGACGGCCTACAAGTGCAAGATGGTGTAAGTGGCCAGACGCTAGTTTGGCTTTTGTCAACAACATTTTTATCTGGCTAAATTCAGACACGCATTTTTTACAAATGTGTTGTCACGGGGCAGGGCGGGAGTGCGGTACGCCCAGAGTAGGAGGGGGGGGGGGTGACATCAAATTAAAATAAAAGATTTATCCAGTTAAAATGGTAAAATAGGATGAGGGTGATGCCAAATAGAAAATGCAAAATTGTTGTAGGGGAGGGTTTTTGTGGGAGGGGGTGGTGACACCCTCAATTACCGCACTGGGTGACACCCCATCTTGTGACGCCACTGACCACAACCATTGCTGTTCTTGGACCAATACAACCACTGTTTATAGAGTAAAGGTTGGGGTTTTTTTGGTTGTTTTTTTTTTGTTTCACGCCCACCCCACCAATTATAGGCCTACTACAAAGCCAAGCTAGTATGACTGAATTAGTATCGATCATTATTAAATACATAAGGAAGACTTCAACTTGTATATATGATAAAATTCTTAAAATCAGAATTCTTAAATATTAAGTTTATTTAGAGACTTCACTAAAACTTAAAAAAATATTTGTATACAGGCAAGAGGACGCCCACGGTCGCAAAGAACTGACAGTTATTTATGAGTGTTGCCATGGTTTCAGCAGAAATGAACGGGACTTTGGGTGTCCAAACAGTAAGTTGATCACACAGTCATTTGAGTAGATCACACTGTCATTTGAATGAAGATCACACTGTCGTTTGTGTAAAGACCACACTGACATTTGAGTAAAGAAATGTTTAGATTTTTCATCACACAAAAAAATATTTATTTTATTTTTAACGAATATTTAAATTTAGAATAAGTTTTGATAAGCATTTCTCTGAAAATGTATGAATATTTTATATATGCTTTTGAAATTATGAGAATATAAAATTACACTAGATAATTAGTTTTGTTTTTTATAAACATTTTCATGAGCATTACAACACTCCAACTAGTTCTAAAAAAGGGCTGCTGTTTAGGACTATTTTCTTTATTGATTAAATCTGCATGAACTACATGACCAGGCTGGTAGTAACTAAATAAAATTCACGTACAGTTATTTTTTTATACCTTCTGTGGATTTTGTGAGCACTTATGACAAAAGATGGATGCCCTTCAAAATGGAAACACTTTTCTTTTACAGGGGTCACCATCAAAAGTTTAATGGAAAAAACTGAAGAGCTCGGTCTGACAGATTTCGTGAAGGCTGTGAAAACATTGAAGTTGACCAAAGAATTTGAGAACGGCAACTTCACCTTGTTTGTCCCTGAGAATGGAGCCTTCAGCCTTGACAGTGACCTCATTGATGCTGGCACTGGGATTATCCTGAAGGTGAGTTCCTTACGCTAGGTGTACTCACAATACAAAACACTATAACTGTATTGCCAATGTCACAGAAATAAACACTACTTGATCAACCGAATTTATGTTATAGTCCATCGCAAAACTATTTTGTGGGTATTTTTAATTAAAACAAATGCTTTAAACTTGTTTCAAAGAGGACAGTTTTAGAATGTGACTTTTATATTCCATGTAAGTAGGACTACTGTTACTTACAGACAGATAACCATTAATGATGCAAGGTATTTTTTAGAGCTGGTTGGACTTAGATACACAACAATCTACTTTGCTGTAACGAGATATCAGCCTGAAACGCTTATGTTTCGGTTCATCAAACTCTTTGTGTGAAATTAGTCTAATGCTCTTCTTCTTCTATTTATACACATTTACCATTAGACCCGCCTGAATTATAAAAACTATTTTGTTTCAATACCCAGGATGCCCCAGCTGTGATAGCTATCTCGGAGCCAGCCGTGGACAAGGCTCTCAAGAGTTTACAAAATGCCCTACTCAGTCACATGATCACAGGCATGGTCAGGTCTAGCGCCATGGACGATGAGCAAGTTATCATCACAGGAAACCCAGAGGGTTCCACCATACGAGTGAACCACTTCACAAGGCCAGAGAAAGTTTGTTACTGCTAGTTTTATTTTGTCTAAGGTTAAAGAATTTGGTATCAAAATTTACTGCTGTTAAATATTTAAAATACACACATCTGATCACTCCAGAAATACTGCATATGTAAAATACATCACTTTGACCTTCGTAATTCTACTGTGTGGAAGACAAAAATATTAAAATTTTATTTTAATGTTGTAGATTTAAAACTTGTAAATTATTGTTAAGATATTTTAAAATATTAGACAACTAGTTTTCTTGAATACCATTAATACATGTATACTGTAGGTCTATGTAATTTTATCATGATAGTAGCTCAATTTGATTTTTTAAATGTTATAGTTTTATAGCATCCCCTAAAACAGTGCTACAAAAAAGTGTTTTATCAATTAAAAAAGTTGAAGTGACTCATGTTTAATTTTGTCTGTTTGAAATCTGTTTTCAGTTGATGACTGTCAACTGCGTCCCATTGGTCACAAGAGATCACATGGCCACTAATGGGGTCATTCACACAGTTGCCAAGGTTCTCAAACCAGTGACTGAATCACTCCTTGAGATAGTGAAATCTAAACCAGAACTGAATACACTTAGGAAAAGTAAGTTTTCTTATGTCAGTAGTTAAGTTTGGAAATATATAATGAATAACATCACTCCTGACATTGGTATGCTAACCTGAAAGTCTTGAGTTCGGATCTCGGGCTTGAGTTCATGACATCACTAAACCAGCTCAGCTCTGATGAAGACCTGACTCACCTTAGGTAAAGTAAAGGCAGCTGGGCATAGTGCTGACCACAATATCCCTTCAAATGCTGAGGTCACTGAAACAGGTGAACTCTACTTCACCTGCCCCATGGACCATAAGTTTCATATGGATACTTTACTTTTGATATTTTAAAATCAAAACCAGAACTCAACACTCTTTAAAAAAAATGTCTAATCAGTAGTTCCATTTGGATGATGAATAATTGCCTCATTAGTTTGATAGGCTATGTATGATATTTAACATTTAATGCATAGAATATTGATATATATGCCTATTATTTTAAAATATTAATTATTATTACTATACCTATTGAAATAACAGCCAACATAAAATTTACAAAAAAAAAATTCTTGTTCTGTTTCCAGTTTTGGCTTTGGCAAATTACATCCCAAAATTGGAACAAGATGGACAGCTGACCATTTTGGCCCCAACTGATGATGCCTTTGAGAGGATGAATAGCAGGCTGAAAGACAGATTACTCTCAGGGGACATAACTTGCATAGAAAGTAAAAAAAAAAGAATTCTTTTCACTTTTTTTTTTAAAATGTTTTTAGGAAAAAAATGTCTAGATTATGATATTAAAACAATTTTTATATAATCTCTAAGTACTTGAAGAATTTTAGGCCTCAATAAATTTGTTTCTGTGTGATTACTGTAGTATTTCAACTTTTTCTCAGAGGTCCTACAGAACCACTTGTTGCCCAATGTGATCTGTTCAGCTGCCATCCAGGGTCAGGCCAAGACACCCAATCTGCTGCACCAGCACCTGACGGTCAACAGGACTGAGGACAACAAAGTCTTCATCGGAGGTTCTCAAGTTATTCAGTCGGACATCATGGGGACGAATGGTGTCCTCCATGTCATTGATGATGTCCTGGTCCCAGATGAAGGTTAAACAAAATTGTCCTATTACTTGTTGTATGGTTTTTGTTAAGTGGATTTTCTTGTATGGGTTCTTTTATGTTTGGTTGTATGGGTTTTTATCTGGGTATGATTGTTTGCAGTGGCGTAGCCACCAGGATCGTCTCAAGGGGGGGGGGGGGGGTTCCAATTTTTTACCCGGGGACAAACTTTCGATTTGCCCCCCCCCCCCCCCCCCCCCCCCTCAAACTTTCGATTTGCACACCCCCCCCCCCCTCAAACTTTCGATTTGCACCCCCCCTCATACTTTTTATATATAACGAGGGGTCTATGGGGGGGGGGGGTTTAACCCCTCTAACCACCCCTGCTTTCGCCACTGATTGTTTGGGTTTTTGTTGTGTAGTCTTTATTTGTTTTATGGGTTTTGTTTTATTGAGTTTTGTTGTATTAAGTTTATTGTCTTGTTTTAAAGAAATGTAGAAATTGTTAAACCAAAATAGTTTAAACTTTTTAAAACTTTTATTTTGCAGTATATTTATCAATCAATATTCTTGGCCTAATATTTTAGAAAAAGCAAATTGATCTAAATATGTAATGTTAGATATTATTTTGATTTGTATTGGTGCTTTCATACTAGCAATGAGTAGCCTATACATAACCCAATATTTCCTACCTATGGTATTTTTATGTGGGACGGAGTGGTCTAGCAGTAGAGAGCTCGACTGCTAACCCGTAAGTCTCGAGTTCTAATCCGGGTTCAAGTCAGTCGACTGTCCCTGAGTCCACCCGACTCTGATGGGTACCTAACTTATGTTAGGGAAAGTAAAGGTGGCTGGGCATAGTGCTGACCACACTATCTCTTCATATGCCGAGGTCACAGAAACAAGTGAACTCTACTTCACTTGCCCCATAGACCGTCAGGTTTGAAAGGGAAACTTTACTTTTTTTTATGGTATTTTTATATTTTAAATCAATTCATTGTTTGCTTTCTTTAAAATTACATCTCCTGATATCTTTTCTGGTTTTAATTATTTATTATTTTCAATTTTTACAGCCTTGGGATTTCTAGATATTTTAGAAAAGCAAGGTTTGACAGAGTTACTCAGCTTGATTGAAAAAACTGGAATGTCCAAAACTCTGGAAACAGACACAAACTTCACAGTGTTTGCACCAACTAATGCAGCTTTCAAGGCAAGATATTTAGTCTTGTATAATAATTCATTACAAGTTCACTTAACCAAATACTAACCACCAGAATTTGAAATTGGAGAAACATTGAGTGGTCATTTAAATTTGTAGCTCATTAGCAGATTCTTTTTTTAAATAAGTTGATTAATATATCATATTATATATGTATTATGTCTGAGCTTATTAAAATGAGTTAATTTAATATTTTCTAAATTATAAATAAATGTTAAAGTTCCTATGTTTTGATAATATTACTTTCAGGATTTGACTAATGGCATGAAAACTAAGCTTGCAGAAGATCCACAATGGCTGAAGAATGTTCTCAACTTCCATATCTCAAAAGGTGTCAAAGAATGCAACCACCTACATGATAATGAGCTCTTGCCCACTCTGTCTGGGAACAACATGAGGATTAACACATATTCAGTGGTCAGTTCTCCAAATGTTTCAAAAAAAAAAAAACAGTACTTTTGTTTTTATATGTCTAGTATTAGATAAGATCTGTTTATTGCAGTTTTAAAAACAGCATTGGAATAAACAAAAGCATATGCTTAATGATACATTTTTTGTATGTAAAATTGTGTTAATCAAAAGATAGCCCATTTGGGAAAGCATGAAGAATAAATAAGGGTTGCTGTACTTGAATTTTAATCTATGATACACCAATGTGACTAAATTATCATTGTGTACCTAGTTTTAAGTGCAGCAAGCCTCATTTAAATGATGTTATGTCATTAATTATCATTAGTCATGTTGGTGTGTCAGAGATTATAATTTTCTCAAAATGCCACAATGCCTTAACACTAGTTAAACCAATCAAATTAGAAAGTTTTATCTATTACCATAAAAATCCTTTATAAGCACTTATTTGACTAAAATAATTAGAATGTTCTTGATTGTAACTTTTCTTCTATTTTAGTTCCCATTTCACCATCGTGGAATTCGAACTGCTCAGTGTGTCCCCATCAAACAGATGAACATCGAAGCTTGTAATGCCAGAATCAATATCATTGAGAATGTAAGTCTTTGAAAAAAAATTTACAAGATTTTTTTTCACCTTTCTAAATTATTCCTGGCCATGAACCAGTGGCAAATTAAATTCTCTTGTCTATCAGAGGTATATTTTTTCTTTAATTGTGTATAGCCTTTGTTCAAATTAATTTAGCTTTATTTGATTTTCTTTTCTTTTGCTATTCAAACAATTAATCTTGATGAAGCCAGCTATTTTAACAATTGTCCTAAACTGTGCAGGTGATGATCCCACCAAGAGGCAATGTCATAGATGTTTTGGCTTTAGATAAGAAGTTCTCAACACTAGTTTCTCTGCTGAAGAAAGCCAACATTGCAGACTTGCTTCAAGAGGATGGGCCATACACAATCTTTGCACCAAACAATGAGGTAACAATAATTACTCGCACAACTGAATTCTAATCAGTTACTAATGCTGTAGAAAAAATAACATATATATGACTTTTGCCTATGTTGAAAATTCGGTACTATTAGAAATATATGACATCACTGTATGTGGCAGTCTTCTTCTACTAAACTGGCATTTACAGGGTTATGAATGACTAAGAGGAGTGGTCCTGTTGCTCATTTATAGAAGTATGAGGAAGCTCTAGTTTATGAGCATTTAATACTTTACTTTATACGTGGGTCAATGCTATATTTCTTACATTGGAACTGTAATTGAAATCACTGAATCCTTTTTGTACATGTTTTTGGTTGTTGTTTTTTTTAACTTGTAGGCCTACCTGGTATGTTTACTAAAAAAAATTTTGTGCTTAATGTTCAGGCATTTGACAGTGTTGATGATGAAGTCATGAGCAAATTAGAGAGGGATCCTGAGAAACTGAAACAGCTGTTGCAGAGACACATCTATGAAGGTTCAAAAACTACTTTATTTGTAATACTTTGAGAGTTATCTAACTTGCATTAAAGTGTCTATTAATTTCCTTAAAATATGGCAAAATTTTAATGGATCATAATTTTGTGGCTATTATTTAAACATTATTATGTATATTCATACCTTTTAATATCAAACCTAAGAACTTAGTTTCTTAATTTTCATGAAGAAAATTAACCTGGGCAAAATTCTATTTTCAGACATGCTTTGTTGTGCCGGAATATTCCGTGGGCATTGGCTGGGTAATCGACAGGTGAAGACCATGTCCCAGGATCTTCTCAAACTGTCCAGGACTCATGACGGAATTCCAAAAGTTGGACACGGTCATGTGATCAAGTGCGACCAGACAGCCACAAACGGCAATGTCCTGGAACTGGACAAGGTCCTGCTTCACGAGCCACACCAACACAAGTGGAGGTTCAACCCCTTCGCAGGATGGGATGATTTTTAATCGCATGATTTATTTTTTTAAGCCGTTGAATTCAATTTAATCAAACAATTTTAAGAAGGAATTTCAAATGTGGATCTTTATTCAAAAATTTTATATTTTAATTATTTACAAAATAAAAATACCATCAAATCATTTATGAATTTTACATTTGCATTATAAATTGATTTTAAAGGAATTAAACACAGTTTTAAATAAATAACAGGAAAATAGAAAGTTGTATTCATCACTGTTATTTTTTTTAACACCACCTACAAATTACAAGGAACAATGTTCTATTATTGCCCATGAGCTACTATATATATACTGCTTGTTTTATTTAGTTCACTTCTTCCTTGGCTTTCTGTGCCATTATTTTATATGTACTTTGTTTCTATTTTATTAGATATTACTATGTAGCATTAAAGGAGTGTAAATAGAGCCCACACTTTGGCTCAGAAATATTTGTATCATGTTCATTAGGTGATTAATTCCTGCACACAATTTTTTTTTTTCAATTTGCATCAGTCTTTAGAACTAAACAGCACTAGTAACAATTATTTACACAGGAAATGAACAGGTTGATTTGATTTTATGACATGTAGAATTTTTTAATAAATAGTTCTATTATTTTACTTGTATAAATGTGTTTTATTACTTTGTAAAATAAATTCTTTGTTAATAAAAGTCCTCCACTTAATGTACCTAATATTGTATGGAATAATTTCTTCACTAATACCCCAACAAAGTAGCACCTCTGCAATGGTTGAATGCATAGCCAGCCCATCTCAGTGGGAAAATTGTTTTATTCTGGTTATCTTTAGTTTTTAACTCTACATTTTTAAAAAGACAACTACAGGTGATGTAAAGAGACTTCTTAATGAAAATTCTCTGCATTAGGTTTTTAAATTCTTGATGATTCAACTACAAAAAAAATTGAAGTACATTTCTGGCATTCAATATTTTTACAGCAGTTATTAATTCAATATTTTAAATAAACATTTTTTTTTACAAAATATACTCCCGTCTTGAACAATTTCTTTAAATTATTTATCACAAAGCTTACAGTAAATGCTGGTGAAGTAACAAATAACATTCAAATTAAATAATAAAAAAAAGTGTATGCATAAAAATTTTACACAGCTGCTTTTACTTTTGTAGGTTTTTTAAAAACAATACATTATTTTGTAAATTTAAAAACTTTCTATAAATTCTATAAAAAATTATTTCTATAATACAGAAAACATTGTTGATCATAATATTAAAACATGACTAGGGTCAGTGCTGTTCATTTTGTTTTACCAGTTCCTTGAAGGCATTTCTAAGTACCTGAAAAAATTTAACATAACAAATGTTAAATAAAATGTAAGGCAACTTGAAAATATCAAAATCTGTCAATGAAAACTATGTTGACAAATTACCTCATCTGTGGCCTTGACATTGCTGTAGTCATTCTTAGGTTTCCTTGACCCAGTTTTATGGTTCCCACTGAAGTTTTCCTGAAAGAAATGTCATGTATGTCATCTCATATATAGACTATCCCAAGCAAGCATATAGATAAGGCCGATTCTAGCCGGAATAAGATACGCATGCGATACGCATGCGCAATGGAGAGAAACTACGACTTGCCTTAGCGGCGATGTTTTCGATGGTACTGCGCATGCGTGTGTTTACAACCGCAGAACCCTAACACCAACCCTAATCCTATCCTTAACCCTATCCCTAATCCTAACCCTAATCCTAACCCTAGCCCTATCCCAAACCCTATCCCAAACCCTAACCCTCATTCTAGCCCTAACCCTAGCCATAGGTCACTGCGCATGCGCAGAGCTATCTTTTGCCGACTAAGTGGAGACGTTGGGGAGAAAAATCTGGTATTTAAATGAGCAACTAGGCTATATTACATTCACTTGAATTGTGCTGTTAATGGATGCACAGATGGTTGCTGTTCTTTTAACTCAAGTTTATTAACAATCCAGCAATTCTGATATACAATTTTATTGCCATAATTGTAATTTATGGGGAGGGGGTAGATATTTTAATTAAATATAGAATTTGCAAAATGTATTAGGGTTAGGTTAGGTTAGCCTGTTGCCCCTCTTGGGATGTAGGCCGCTGACAAGAGCTCTTCAGGCATCTCTGTCCTGAGTTAGTCCCCAAGGTGTACCCAATCTTGGTGTCTTCTTCCAGGTCACATCTCCAGGTCTTCCTTGGAGGATCTCTTCTTCAGCTGGCAGTTGGTTTTGGCAAAACATAATATTGAGAAAACACATTTTACACCAACCTGCCAAGGATGTAGAAATCTTCTGTCTGAAGGGTGAAACGATGCTCCTATAGGGTCATGACCTATACTGGCCAACTCTACTTCACCCAGTGAATCTAGGTACCTATAAATTAGTTTTTAAAATCATGAAAGTATTCCAATCAAAGAAAAACATATCAATAAATAAAAATAAATATTCTGTGTTGTAGAAAGTAATTAAGAAAAATGATATTTTTAGGATATTTTACCTCAAGCAAGCATCTAAATCAGCTCTTGTTTTCTTTTCAAAATCTTTGTACTCTTTTTGTATATCTCTGCAAGTTATTTAATCATTCAGATAAATCTAATCAAAGACTATAGATCTACAGGACAGCATTTTAAAATATCTCTTAGATAGAGAAAATATACAACAGTATCCTTTTTTAAAAGAAATCTATACACTGCATATTATAGAGACAAAACTAGGAGGGAACATAAACAGAATGGTACTGTCACAGCATAACATAAACAGAATTTATAGACAGGGTATAAGATCACACAATGCTAAGACAGAACAGAACATAGAGACCTATCAGCAGAGTTTCCGTCAGGCATCTCTTCAGAATGAAAAAGAATTTATATAGGAAAAAAAAATATACTTCTGAAAGAAACACTGCCTATTACTATTAGGATTATTTTGCAAATGATTATTTAAGTTTTGTTGAAATTGCATTAGATGTACTCAGTTTCAACCTCAAGTGTTGATCTACAAACTCTAATATTAATGTGATGCCTATTTTTTAAATATCAGCTAAAAACTGCTACATGTATGAACATCTTAAAAGAAAATTTGGAGGTAGACATACACTATTCTTTTCTGGAGAAAACTAATATTTGAGTCCATCCTTTCTTTTGCAACCCTAAGTCTGTCTTCAAATGCTTGCTTAGCTGCATCACGTAACGTATATAAATTGTTCACATGTTGAGTGTGGTCTTCCTAAAATATAAAGACCAATTCATGATATACAGACATGATATTAATTTTGGTTTAATTTTTCTTTAATAAGTGTTTCATTAATTTCTTAGTCAGTTTCCTCCCTTTAATAAATTTTTCATGCTTTCATTCTGTAAAAACTTCTTTTTTAAAAATATCTAAACATTTATCACTTAATTAGAATAGTTTTTATCACAATATATGTAAAATTTGGAAACTAGGGGCCAAATAAACAGAATATGTATTGGCTAGTCTGCTTGAGACTAATTAACTCAGCTGAAGTTTAACGTCCATTTTTCATGGTGCAGAATTTTTTAAACTGTATGACTGATTAAAACAGTGTTTAAAGATATCAATATTTAATTGTGTTAAAAGAACATAAAGTTTCAATAAGAAATATTTGATTTTATACTGACATCTAAAAAAAACAGTTTTAAAAATGATTACCAAAACAGTTGGCATGGGTCTGACTGCCACGTTGTCCAACATTGTTATGTTTGCTGACCTCAGGATGTCAGACTGATAGGTGTGCTCTTTCTCCACTGGGTTACCCTGAAACAGAACGGAGGAACTTTAAATTAATCAGATGGACTCACTAGATGAGAAGACTGACCACTGTAATTGAAAAACTCCACAAGTTTGCTTCATTAACATCAAGCCAAATTTTTTTTTAAAAACAGGATGATCATATCATAAATAAACAAACAAACAGTTAACAAAATCTTACAGCTAAATTTAGGGACTGAATGGTCATGTGACTCTTGAGTAGCCTCAGCACACTGTCCAATGTCTGAATGTTGTTGTTAGCTGCACTGACCACACTTATATGCAGGCAACTTGTAAGGGGAGTTAAATCTTTCTGAGGAAAAAAGAAACATTCCTATAGTTCTCTGTTTTGTGTCCTGTTATGTAATAAACTTTTGTATTAACTACATATTTATTTAAAAAATTACACACATTGAACACATTTTTTCATAATATTACATACATGGGTCACATTTTTGTAAATACTACACAATATCTATATATATAATTCTCTTCTGGGATCAGTTAGAAAACAAGCTGCAAGCGCGCCTTTGCAGTCCCCTCTCTTCCTCTCTATCACTATCATACCACCCCCACCCGACCCTCACATGATCTGTTGAGCGGTGTTCACTCTGTTTACATTTTACAATCATAGAGACGGGTTTGGTGACGGCTATTAGGGGCAGAAAATTTAGTTTGAAACGACTTTAAACTCAGAGGAGGTAACTAAGAGGAGGCTGCTTTCACGTGGGGGGGAGGGGGGGGAAGGGGGGGGGGGAGGGGGGAAGGGGGGGGGAGGGGGGGGGAAGGGGGGGGGGGGTTTAGTGTTTTTAAGCAAATATTTTCAGTGGCAGCATTGGTACTGTCGAATTCACAAATTATAAATTACTGAAAAGTAGAAAAAAAAAAAAAACTAAATAGCGGCGTATGATACGCAGCGGGTCGGCTCGTTATAATTAAACACCATACCACTTGATTGTCATCCAAATATATTTCCTCCAGTTTTGGGAAAGATGAAACACCCACAAGGCTGAGGAGCTAAAATAAACAATTAGGATCCATTGTTAGAAAAAGGAAAGACCTACAAGTTTTTTAAGCAATAATAATTATTAAAATATTGCATTAAAGAAAATAAAACCAATATCTTTTAATTTTCAACACTTACATATGTATTTTAAAATCAGTACAAAGTTGGCATACTGTATGATAATAAAACAAATGTTTACAAAATCTAAGCAACTTGCCTTATTTTTGTTCAAGTTTAAAATTCTCAGGTTTATCAGACTAGGAATCCCTGATATGTCAGATATCACATTGTTGCTGAGATTGAGCTCACCGAGTGAGTAGGAATTTAACAAACCTTCAACTCTCTTTATGTTGTTGTGAGACAGGTTCAAATGGTAGAGGTGGTGTAAGACCTCAACACCTTGAAACCTTTAAATAAAATAATAACATTAATTTTTTTATTCTATAAATAATAAAAGTGGTTAAAATTAATTCTTTGAATCCTACAAACAAATTCTCAACCATAATATATTATTTAACTTTTGAAAAACGTACAATATTAAACATACTTTAGACCATCATATCCGTTAGACTCTATTTACTTTTATAATAATATAAAGGCCCATACATATAAATTATAGGCATATATATATATATATATATATATATATATATATATATATATATATATATATATATATATATATATATATATATATATATATAATTATAATAATATTTTTATTTTCTAGATACACAGAGTACATTCCTTAGTATTGCTATAACAATTTTCCATTACAGTAGACAGACATTAACTTACTGTCTGATCTGATTCAAAGATGCGTCCAAGGCTCTAAGATTTTTGAAGGGAAATAAGCCTTCATGAGAAATAGAGGTAAGTTCGTTCAGTGAAACATCCAACTTTATTATTTTAGAAGGCATTTCAAGCACTGAAGAAACTCGCGGCACAGGCTTCCTAATAAACAGAAAATAGCTCAGCAGTTCATTTTTGTCAGAATTTCAGTCCAAGTAAACATATTACAAAAAAGTGGTATTTTTTCTAATAATATTAAGAATGAGAAATAATTACTAAAATAATATTTCAAAATTACTGTATTTGAAATTGGCATTGCAGATAAATTTATCAAACCCTAAACATCATCTTATCACTAATGTTTAAACTAGGCTATACCTAAGCCATTTTCTGGTCTGGGCATCAACAGGAGAAACCAAATAATTGTAACTATATGAAAAACAATTTTTTATTTTGTGAAAATTATTTTTACACAAAACTTTTAAAAACCATATATTAATGGCTATTTAGAAATATTACCTTTCATCCCCCCAGTTAAAAGAGTAGTCAAGTGATCTCAGCTGACACATCTTTAGGTCAAGCTGATAATAAACTCCATAAGTATCCAATCCCCAAACTGGTGGAATCATTGGTCCATGAAACTGGGAGATGTGATGTTCCACAAAAGCAGGGTTTAGTAAGTCACTCATTTTCACAGAGGAAACTCTGTTTAAATGCAGGTTTAGAACAGATTAGTATTCAGTTGTTTTTTCCGTAAAGGACAGTATTTGGTATTCAATAATAAACATCAAGTGTGCCTATCAGAGTTTTACGCAAAGGGGAGCAGGGGGAGCAGCCACTCCCCCTAGGACCATTTTTAAGATAGTGGCACCCTATCCTAGATTAATTTTTGTTTTTATTTGAATAAAAACATGTTTCTGCTACAAAAAAATATCCTTACCATATAGAAACTACTAACATGAAACTGTTAACAACTATTTTTCCATGGTCAACTTTATGTTATGTAAATATCTAATTTTTTAATGACTTGCCACATGATTAATACTTGTCGTACTTCTCTGCATCTGTATGAGTGCCAGACAATGTTAGTTCACTTTATGTAACCATAGATCTTTACAAGTGTAACCTTCGCTTGATGTATCAGCCTCAATTTAGTATTTTGTCTTTTATATTGAAAGCAAACTTTTTACTAACTTGAAAATTTAGTTTCACCACCACCACTCTAGTGAGATAGGTTATTTGCCCCAAAAAAAAAAAACATTTTGCAATTCTCTGAAATGTCCTAACTACCAGTAGGCTGAAATATGTCTGTGTGGTCGGGCCGGTAAAGCTCATGGTTGCTAAACCAAAAAAGTCATGAGTTCGAACCCCGGGCAGATGAAGTTCAATAGCAAGTGACAGCATGCCATCTACAAGAGGAAACTCCAAAAACAAAAACTGCTGCCTTGTAGTTTGTTCTGGATGAACAAAAAAAATGAAAGCAAATCTAGAAAGAAAAGCAGCTGAAATTAATGTCAACACGCCATATGGTCGGCGCATTACATACTTAATTGTGTTGGAGGAATTCCCATGCAACATTACAAGAAGAAGAAGAAAAAGAAAATTTTGGGGGGAAATACCTGAATAAATGTATAGGTGAATGTTAGACATTAGCACACAACTTCATATGAGTTGAGATAATGAGTTGCGTTGATGGTTTTAATACTTTTCCTGCATCACCACAACAAATAATAACAGTGTTTAAATACTGGGTAATGACACTATATAAAAAATATATATAAATACATCAAGGAAATTTTGTTAAATAGGCAGGGAAAAGCATACAACTACTTTCAAAATGGGAATCAACATACTGCACATAAACAACTAGTTAATAGAATTTAAAAGATATAGACCAAGGCCTAATTTAAAAAGTGGAGGCCCTTTGTATTTTTTTAAAATATACTATATAATATATAATCATTATTTCCCCAACTGCTGTCCTTAAGTCTGTTTAATATAACATTTCTTTTAATTCAGTTGAACAAAAATTTAATTTACTTACAAAGAATTAAAAAAATTGGATCTGACGTTTTTTATTTTCTGTTGTGTTGTTATGTTTTGTACAGTTGTGTTATGTATTGTGTTTTTGTGAATGTGAATTAGCTTTGTGTTCTAAGTTAAGTAAATTTTCCCTTTCAAACCTAACGGCCTATGGGGCAAGTGAAGTAGAGTTCACTTGTTTCTGTGACCTCGGCATATGAAGAGATAGTGTGGTCAGCAATATGCCCAGCCGCCTTTATTTTCCCTAACGTGAGTTAGGTACCCATCAGAGTTGGGTGGACTCAGGGACGGTCTACTCACTTGAACCCGGATTTGAGACTAACGGGTTAGCAGTCCAGCTCTCTACCGCTAGACCACTCCATCCCATGCTTTGTGTTCTGTGTGTCACATTTGTTTTAGTTTTTAGTTTTTACAGTCTTCTGCTCTTACTTATCAACTTATTGTATTAATAATCAATGTAGGCCTAAAAAGTAAAAAATTAAAATTAAAAAATATCAAGTAGAAGTAGAAGTAGAATCTATTGAATTTATTGATCTATAATTCTATTCTGTTATTATTCATTATTATTCTAATCATTCTTACTCTAAGTAACTCATACTCAATTACTAACTTTGACATAATCATATCATAATAATACAATTAATTGAATTTTAATTGAATAGAAATAACAATAGGCCCTATAAACAATACATTACATTAACAGTTAACATATTACTATTACTTAATTACTTATTACAGTCACTGTCAGCGTCAGGGGCGTAGCGTGGGGGGGGCGGGGGGGTGCGGAACGCACCAGGTGACACCATTTAGGGGGGTGACACCAAGGCAAAAAATAGCAAAATATATAGAGAAAAACTCGAGGGGGGGGGGGGTGCAAATCGGAAGTTTGAGGGGGGGGTGCAAATCGAAAACTTGAGGGGGGGGGTGCAAATCGAAAGTTTGAGGGGGGGGGGGGTGCAAATCGAAAATTTGAAAGTTTGTCCCTGGGAAGGGTCTCTATGCCTCTGGGGGGGTGACACCATTAAGTGCCGCACCGGGTGACACCCGACCTCGCTACGCCACTGGTCAGTGTTACTTACTGTTAAGTCTAAGTGTAGTTTTTTAGTGTAGCACTAACCAAAGTAATAAGTAATAATAGTATAATTATAGTATAATAATAGTAATAAATAAGTAAATATTATTTAATTAGGCCTAATAACTTATTAGGCCTAATTAAATAATATTTACTTATTTATTACTATTATTATACTATAATTATACTATTATTACTTATTACTTTGGTTAGTGCTACACTAAAAAACTACACTTAGACTTAACAGTAAGTAACACTGACAGTGACTGACACTACGTCACTATGACTATTCTAACTGGCGAATGAAGCCGTCTTACTTTAGTAACTTTATGTGTAGACTGAAAGCTTTAGATCTAGGACGAGGAAGTAGACAGATCACAGATTTAGATCCATAGATTCTGAGTCAACTATCAAGAATATTAAGTATTATTAAGATATCAAATTCTCTAATAGTGTAAACACACTGTACAGTACTAATACTAATAGTAATAATAAGTTACTTTGTTTAGGTCCGACTATTTACCGATATCATTGTCACAGCATAGATACGGAAGAGAAACGTCACATTTGCCACTGCTAGAACAGTACTAACGGATTTTATGGCCTATATTTTATACAATTTCATATTATTTATTATAATTGAAAGTGGTTTTTTTCTTGTGACGTTTTCCCCGTTCACTTTCTTAACCTGGGTTCGATCGAACCACGGGCAGAGATTCTTCCAGGCATCTCTTCATATAATATTTAATAAAGCAAATTCTTAATTATTTGCTCTAATTTTCTGCTTAAAAAATCACTTTTTAAAATGCAAAAGTGTGACGTCACACTTTCTAATAGATGCCCCGTGACAAATGAGCTTTTACTGAAGACCCTTGCATCTGTAATTAACTCTAATGCTAACAATAAATACCCGTTGTTTCTAATTTCGAGCTAACAAAAAGGCGTTCTTTACACCGCTAGGGCGAATCTCTATTATTATACCTATAGAAATATAGATCCATCTCTCGCAACAACATATATAATATATATAAATAGGCCTATATATAGGCCTATATATATATATATATATATATATATATATATATATATATATATATATATATATATATATATAATATATATATATATATAGGCTTTACGTGTCTATATTATAAAAATATTAGTAATGGTGGGTTATTTTTTTATGATAGGGAAAAATCGGATGTTTTTTAAATTGATTAACACATTTGCGATAGTCTTTTTTTTTTAGTTTTGACTCTTATATTGAATATTAAAGATCTAGATCTATGATTCTCAGTGTTTCTTCCAGACTTTTTTCTCCGTGGGGGGGGGGGGCGCACTTGATATTTTCTGGGGGGGGGGGGGCGGAACACTAATAAAAGTATATATTTTCTATATAAATTCCATTTCGTTAGACTTTCTTCTGGGAGGCGGAACCCCCCCCCCCCCCCCCCCCCCCCGCCCCCGAATAGATGATTTTATATAGTTAACTTTTAGCTAAGCAGATGACGCCAATGTGATTTTTAACTATTCTGAGTAATTTCGAAACTAAACAGCCAGGAAACGAAACTCTTTCTAAAAAACATAACCGCTAAGATTGGTAAGAATATCTATCTTAAAATTATAATGTTTATTTTTACTTTTTAAAACAATGAGCTTCTTTAAAAATGATTGCGAAATAATCTAGATCTAGATACGCACTTTTTTTTCACAGTAATATATTTCAAAGAACGTTTGCGAAACTATTAAACTGGGCTGCTGTGAATTTATTAAAAAAAGAATATTACTTAAAAATTCTAAAAATAGTTCATGGACTTATAATCTTATAACCAGATAATTAAGTGAACATAACTTTATTATTTTTTAAGTATTTCATAAATTAAAACGCAATATTTCAAAAATGCATTGCAATTTACTATTTAATCTTGTTGAATCATTCAGTGCATTGATACATTAAACAGTGTGTGATTGGGTCTGTGTTTTGGTTGTCCCAGCTGGAGAACAGTATGACGTCATTGTCTGACATAAACCAAGGCCATTAGTTCGTTATTGTAGAGAACAAAGGATACACAGATTGAAAATGGGAAACTGCTTTAAATCAACAAATAATGATGACATTTCGTTACTTAGAGGTAACGATAGTCACGATTCGGCCCTCGAACCAGCTCAATTTATTGAGCCACCACCACCATACAGGGCACAGGTAGACTGAGAAAGATATTTCACTTGTAACTTTGTTTGTTTTCATTTCTTTATTTTAAATATTTATTGGCTACTAAAAGGGCCAGTAAGGGGGCTATTTTTAGGCCCTTAATCCTGTCTTTCTTTATCGTAAAATTAAAGTTTATGTCTTAGTTTACGTTTACAGTAGTTAACATAATCTATCCTATTGTTAGGCCTAATGTTTAAAATCTTATTAATTACTTACTTGGACTTGGACCAAATGCCAAATAAAATAGACCTACACTCCTACACTACTAAATTATATAGCCCAGATCTAGATTTAGATCTATCTAAAATAGGCCAACTAGTTTATTTTAGAGCTTAAGTTAATTAGTCAGTAGTAGATCTAGTAGTGTAGCTTATTTTATTTAATTTCCTGGTAGATGATCATTGATTGATCCATAATGATTGATAGATCTGTTACTCTGGGGAGTGATTTTTTAAGTATTTTAAACATGATTATAATCATGATCATCAGATTGGAATATAGATTTAGCATCTAGTATTCTAGTGAAATGTAGTTCTTAAGTTCTAGAGTAAGGCAATCAATGCTTATTGTTTGTATATTTTAAATGGAAGTTCCTTTTAAAAAAATTTGTTTCAATCTAGGCCTACATTTTTTTGAATTATTAATAATAACTTGCTTGTTTAAAAAAAATACTTGTTTATTAAGATTTTTGGCAAATAGGAGCTGAACAAGTATCATAGTATGCATAAAGCTTAGATATAATCAATATGTTGCAAACTCTGTTCATTTTAAAACATCTGGGATATGTAGTATCATCAGGTTTTTTATTTTTATCACTGTTAGGGTAGCCACACTAGCAACAGCGCTTTGCTAAGCCCTGTTGGCATTTGGTAATGTTAAAAGTATACTGAGGCTGGTGTATCAAAAAGAGAAATGATCACTTTCTGTTGTCAACTCTAACAATTTCAAAACTGGGATAGTGTTCTATGAGCACTAAATTTAACACATCATCAGTCTGAATTCTAACCTGCTGGTTCATCATGTCACTGGTTTTGTTGTCTCAAAATTTTAAAACTCAACAGTAAAGTAGCAAGATAGCCTATCAGAATACCAGGTGTACATTTTCTAAATTTTCAATCTTTTGCTTTCACATTTGTTTTTAGCCTGAGCAGCATCATAGAATGCCAATCTATCACCCATCACCTGGTGTAAGTCGACTAGCGAATCAGCTTACAGAAGAAGAGCAGATCAAAATAGCACAGCGCTTAGGGCTGATAAACCACCTACCAACAGGGAAATATGACGGAACAAATAAAAAAGCAAAAGAGTAAGTTGTTTTATAATTTGCATTAAGATAGGCCCACATATAAGGTACTGTTATGAATACAAGATACAGGATCGAAGGACAATGTACAGCGATCCAATATCATTCCATAGAAATCAATTTAACAGAACGGCGTTGATTCCTTTCACAGTTTAATTGCATACAATGGACACAACTACATCAACGACAGACAAAGACATCCACACACTCACACTACAAGACTAAGACTGATTTCCACTCCTTTACCTAACAACCAAATCCTACTCTTACATGTCACATCCTTACCTGCCTTGTCACATTCAACATATTTTATTAATATAATGCATTCCACTACACACATACTCTCATACCCATTCAGTACACTACAATACCATTTACAACAGGTACCCAAAAAGTTAATTTTTAAATGATTGCCCTCGTTGTTGAAATACACATTATATTAAACATTTTATTTCCACATTGCAGGTGTGTTATCTGTATGAATGAATTTCTGTTTGGGGAACAGCTTCGATTCCTTCCCTGTATGCATACGTATCACAGAGATTGTATTGATGACTGGCTAATGCGATCTTTCACCTGCCCTAGCTGTATGGAACCAGTCGATGCTGCTCTGCTCACAACATATCAGACAAGTTGATCTCAGGTTCTAGACTTTCCTTATTCATGCAACACCTTATATCAGTAGTATGATAATCTATGCTGTCATAACCGTCTTCATGTAAAGAAGGTACTATCAAATCCAATATTTTTCAAAGATAAAGTCTGCATGGAGTTGTCTGGTATTTCATGACTTGATAATTCAGCATTTAATTTGTTAACATGCTTTCAAAGTTTGTAACAGTTTAGAGCTCAGAAAATCCAAAGTCCTTGAACTGATTGAGTGTGAAGTGCTCGTATTTGACATGTACCTGCAATTTGCATGTTGACACATAGGACTAGTAATCTTCCATTGTTTAACTACAGATAGTTTTTTTATAAATATCATGTTTGTTGAATATGCATTCTATTACAAATTCAATTGCATTTTTATTATTAGATTTTCTTCAATTCTTGATAAAGCTGTTTCATAAAAATGAATCAGTTTTGTGAATCATCAATGAACTAAATAAATACATTTGGGAGGAAAGTGGTTGTGGGTTTTGTTTCATCTTCATTAAAAAAAAATGGAGGTGATCATGTAACAAATATGTTTGTTTAAAATTTGATCATGTCACAAATATGTTTGATTAATATTTTATCGTGTAACAAATATGTTTGTTTAAAATCTGATAATATGTAACAGACACGTTTGTTTAAAGTTTGCCTTAGAATACTGAACAAATGTCTCAGTCTCACATTGTTCTTTTTTTTAATTGTTGAAATCCTATTGGCTCACCCTGATTTAATGAATTACCACAACAAGATGAGCATAATCACAGGTTTCTTTAATTAGCCTAAAGACAACTCTTGTAGACACTGATGCTAGTCTGGCATGCAATCTGTATCACCCTATTTATTGTTAAATGTTAACCAGGATCAAAGAGATCATCTATTTTATCATTGCTGTTATGACATTGTGTAGCATATATTCCCATGTCATCTATTTAAAGACTTGTGTTGTAACAAGGCCTGAAACTCATGTCTGTTGATTGATGAGGAAGTGAGATAGAGTATGCCTGATCACATCACTTGTAATACTATTTTTAGAACTGTTTTTTTTAATCTACAGCCACATAGTGTAGCTTTTCTTTAGTTAATAAAGAGCTATTAGTGCCATGAGGATAAATAAACAGAATTCATGTTTTACAATTACCTGTAAATAATGACATTTTTATCAATCTTTAGAACATTTTTATCCTTTGAAGCCAAATGGTCCACTGGAATTTGTGTCAGTTACTTCAAGTTTATGGGTGTTTCCTGATGCTGTTTTTTCTAAATGTGAAGATAACATTAAGGAAAATCATCATATCCTGAGCGCACAAGTAGTTTTAAATTAATTTTTTGTTTGTACTTTGAGGGCTATATATGTTGTGTACTTTATATTTTAAGCAACAGATTGTGGATTTAGTTGCTGGTTGTCATTTGTTGCATTTAAAGAACATCTTTTTATTTATTTTATTTTTCTCAGTTTTTGCATTAAGTTTAAGGAAAGAAATGACTCCACATTATTATAATTTAGGTTTTTCCCTATAGCATGATTAGTCTGTGATTTATTTTGTGATAAATTTATTTCTTAAGCTATGGATGTTTAGGAATGTAAAAAAAAAAATCAAATCTGATTAAGGTTTGTGTAAATGCCATGTAACCAAGGCGTCCAAGACTTAAATAATAAAGTAATCAAGTCATTAGTTTATTATTTTTTGTGTGCATATAGGTTATTTTTTTACATCAGACTAAATGTAATGCTATTTTCTGAATAGATTTCAAGAATTTTTAAAAATAAAATTTGGCTTATGTTTGAAGTTAAATTGTTGGAAAAACATTTGTTTTGATATTTTATTTCCTGCAAAAACATTTTAAGTTGAAACACTATCACAAGACTTATCCATTTATGCTTATATGGTCTTTCATTTATTTTGTAAAAAAACGTATTTGCTATCTTATTTTGTCCATTTTTATTCCTGTAAGAAGAAAGAATGAGCACTCAATTGATACTGAAAGATTTTGTGAAAAAAATGTTCGCTTTTAAATGAAGTTTGAGATGAAACTTTGTGTAATATGATACAAATTATTGTAATCTTTATATTGTTTTAAAAACTAAAAAAATGTGTATATACATATGTAAATAGAAAAAGTGATTTATGTTGGTCTAATACAAAAAGATAACTTTTATAAAGCAGATGTTAGTTGATTATGATAAGGGCAAAATAACTTTTATGTAAATTAAAAAGCTCAGAAGAAACAATTTTTCAGCCAATCAAAAAGTTGATTTTTGCTACATGTATGCCTGCATTAACAATAATTTTTTGTGTAAGATATGTAATCAAGTGATAAAATTTCAATTGCTCGCTACACATCAGTTAAAGTAGTTTAATCTTGTAGTATAACAAAACCGAGTGCATTAGACTTTTTAGCCATGCACGATTGTCATACAAATGTATAGCATGTTCCACACGCCCTGTATTGAATTGTGTATTGTGACATTTGGTTGTGAAGATGAGAGAAACATGAATGACAGGTTTCTAATTGTTGGACAAGTTGTATCCTGCCATTAAACTCATCCATTCAATAAAACTAAGCTGAAAATTTGACTTCTATTTATATTTCACCTATAAAAGTTTTCTGTTTGTCATTATTATTTCTTTCATTGATTTTAGTGAGAAACTTGCTACATTTGTAAGTTCTATCCCTGTTTATTTTATTTTTTTTGCAATTTTTCCGATTCATTTGTAGTGCTGCTGAATAATTAAAATTAAGTCAATATTTTTCTAAAATATTTATATAAGTATTCTCACAGGTAAGGGCACCATTTTCAAAGGCAAAACCCTATTAAACTTGCCTCAGTACCATATTTCTATCAATAAAAATAATAGTAAATAAATCTAACACAAAAAAATTAAGGAAGAAGGCTTTATATTATATTGACAAATCACAAATAAAAAATGATAGAATATGAAAATTGAATACATTTCTATGTTATGAATATATTTTTTTTTCCTTATATCAGTATATAGCTTTAGTAAGGTCAAATCAAATTTTTTATTTTTAATGCATTTTCCCATTTGTGATTTGAGTATAACAAACTTTTTTCTCAAAAATTTTATTATGTGAAATTTATATTCCACTTTTTAGTCATTTGTTTGACATGCAGTTGATTTGGGTTACATTTATATTTACATAAATATTTAGTATTTATTATAAACAACTAACAAAACTATGAAATAAATTTGGTAAAATAACTGATTTTCAAAAAGTGCCATTTTTGAGAACCAATATTTTCTAGAATAAATAACCTAGAAGTGTAGAAATCTGTAAAGTTGCTGGAAAGTTTGTAATATATATGCCCAATTTTTCAGCCATCTAAAATGGTTCTTTCTAAGGTAAAAAAAAATTATTGAAAATTACAAGAGTGCGTTTTGGTCGTTTTTATTTTCATACCAAAAAAAACATACAATTCAAAATTTAAATTTTTGTGTTGGTAACATTAACAGAAAGAATGTGTTCATTATTTTCAAAAATCACATGAGTCAAAATGTTATTTCTATAAATGCTACACTTATCTAGTGCAGGAGAAACTGAATCTAAATTAAGTGCAGTTGTAATGTAGTCTAATAGTTTGTCCCCACAAGTGATGCAGCAGTTGACGCCATATGCTTTGGTTTCTTTGCAAACCTAATCAGATTGATAACTGCTGTGATGGAATAGTCTTTTAAACTCCAAAACATTCTAAGTCTTGTTACCATCAACCTTGATCTGGTGGAGCTTCAAGAGTAAGCAATATATTTTGGGAAATGTATGTAAGGGGGGGGCTTGGTTTTCTTCCCTTCTGTAAGGAAAGTTCTGGATAGGCCATTATAAATTTCTCCAGCTGTAGAATAAACAATTGATTTAGTGATTAATAAAATATAATTAAATTTAATACTAGCCTTTTGTGTAGGCCTACTATTTGTCCTATATCTGGAAACATGAAAAAGCCTGAAAACGCCTATTTGTTAAGTCATTTATACTTGATTGTATACTTACATATTATATTTTTAATAGAATGAGTTCTTCGTTGCTTGTGCCACACTGGTTGAGATATCCAATGATGAAGATGCCATACTGTGGTTCTCAACATCCTATAGAACAACTTAACTGTCGTCCATTATTATATGCATTTAAAATAAATAAATAATGAGTAACACTACTTACACTTACAACTAAAATAATATTTAAAACTAAGTCACAACATGTATAATCATTATTTATTGCAACACCATCTAAAAATTGATTTAGTACATTTGATTAAGTAGACTGGCCCAGACCACTTCACATTATGCAGTAGGAAAATCAGAATCAGAATGCACAACAGAAATTAAAAAATAAATTACCCAAGTCCTTAAAATTTAGCGTCTTTAGTTTTAAATAAATGAATAAAAATCTATATCCAAAAATAGCTATTATAAATACACATTTCTTTTGTGATTAATTAATATTTTATAAGTGTTTAACCTTCGTTCCCTGTGAATAGTTGAGTTGGTCCACATAGTAACAAGGATTGTCTGGTAGCCACTTTGAATTTGCCATTTCATAATTTTGACGTGACAGTCCAGTTAAACATTAATACGGCCCTATCATCAATCCCATTTCCTACATTTTAAAGAATTAGTAAACACTAGAATCTAATAGTTAAGTGGATCCATATTTGAAGGCTTAAAAATCTCCTAAATTAAATACCTTCTGGTCTAAACACACCATATGTACAAGCATAGTCACACGCCAGAACCGTGGACTAGTATCGTTCAAATTTACATAAATAACTTTTACTAATTAAACTAACCTGACATTCAAACTTAATATTCATTTATTAAAATGGAAATGAAACTTTAAAAATGGTACTTACAACTTGTTTGAAGGCTCTAGCAAGGGTAAAATCTGTTTAGCATCATCAGTCGTCAACCCTTAAAACCGCTCTGCGAGCTACTCACTTGGAGCTGTAAGTGGACAAAAGGGGTTATATGTTTATTGAGGGCACGACTTTGCAGCCGTAAATGAGAAATATGTGAATTTAGAACACAATGTAGTTGAATGTAGTTATAAAAATGTACTTTACATCTGTGTAAAAATTGAAACAGAATTAGTTTTTTTCATGATCTATCATCATTTAAAGTTTGCAAACTGATTTCTTAAAATGAAATAAACAAGTTATTTTTTCAATTTATACATCAAACAATAGGCTAGAACTCGCTCTTTCAAATGACAATAAGATTGTTTCTACAAAGCTCAGCCGGGATGCCGCGGCTAAATGGGGTCAAATCAGAACTCGCAAAACGGTCAATTTTTTTCACGTAACTGGTGGAGCTTCAAGAGTAAGCAATACTTTTCAAACAAATATCACACTTTCAAACATGAATTACAGATTATAAAAAATACCAGATTTTGACAGATAAAGACTTAAACGTTATTGACATATAAATTTTATTCATATATAGCACAGCACTACAAGAAGTAGTTGAAATTTTTGTTTGAAAACCACATAAATTGACCCCAAAACGCACTTTTTCGCCAGTTTGGACTACCTAATATTAGTGATACGCCAGTGTGGGTCTAGAAGAGCTAATCAGCTCATTCAAGTTTTGGAGCTAAAATTAAAGAATTATTTTTTTAGCATTAAAAATATCAGTCTAGAATTCATATAAAGTTACTCTTTCTAACCCAGAGGTCAACTGTTGAGTTCACCTGTTCCTAAGAACTCTGCACAGCTTAGTTAGCATCTGTAAGTATAACATTAATAGAAAGAATACACATCAGGGAGTAAAACTGTTACTGAAGCCAATGTCGACAGCTGTCTTGCTGTCCACAGTACCATCATCAATTACCAGCTCCACTACTCTGGGAGGTCAATTTTAAGTTTTTGTAATATAGATATATCATGTAGCATGTTCAATTTTATACCTATATAGGCCTACTTAAATTTGTTAGCTCTTTTAGTTGTACTTGTTAAAAGCTTTTTGTTAAATAAAGCTTTATAAGTGTAATGTGTTAAATTGTAGATATTTAGAAAACAGCTTAAGCATTATAAGAAAAGTAAAAAAAAATACTAGCATGCATCATCAAGTTTTATGCAGGGGGGGGGGCAGCAAAAATGTATAGTTCTTAACTCTTAATATTTGCTCCTAAACCAAACCCTAATAATCCCTAGCCCTAGAATGTAGTGTATGCCTCTGATGTAACACCATAATAAAGGTTGAGTTCACAATAATTTGTTTTCATATCTCTTGCGAGATGAGGAAATAACAGAAGACCTCAACACACTTCAACAGGTAGTTAACAACTGGATAGGTCTTTCTTGACACTGCAGGTTGTCAATTAACCGCCTGAAAATATAATCAAGAATTCTAACTCCAGCTATGCTTGCCTATCGTGGTGGATATCGACTGGAGTGACTCATAATTTACCGTAGAGATTGTTAAACATTATATTTCCTACTCGCAGACCTTGATTATTGGTGTCCCATACATACAAGTACAAGTTACTTACTAGTACATACTTACTACATACATACAGAGTTTCTTCCAGGCATTTCTTCGGGGGGGCAAAGCCCCCCCCGAAAATTTTTTACCGCCCCCCCCCCCCCCCCCCCCCCCCGAACGAAATGAAATTTAAATAATTTATATAGAAAATATATACTTTTAACAGCGTCCGCCCCCCCGAAGAAAGTCTACCGCCCCCCCGAAAATTTCAAGTGCCCCCCCCCCCCCCCGGAGAAAAAAGTCTGGAAGAAACACTGCATACATACCCATAAGATGTTCCCAGCCACAAGGCTGTCTCTGTGTAGAAATGGCCCTAAGAATCACATGTTGAAGATGATGACATGTGTCTACAATGGATAATTCTAAAACACAAGAAATAGATATTGCCCGGACTTACTTGTAAACAGCCTCCTTTCATTTCATTAGCTTATCAGACTATAAGAACTTGTAAGTTTATCGTTCTTTCTCGCGTTAATTCGTGTCTGGTTAGCCAGGGAGAGATAAAAGTTTTCGAACTAAATCAATTGTTGTGAACGGGGTTTCCCATTGATAAAAAAAAACATGGCGGCTATTTGTTAGTAGGTCCCGCTTCAAGATTTCAAAATCATCAAACGTTCCAGAAATGCAACAACTGTAAAAACTTTCAACGCTGTTTTGTTCATATGGATGGGAACAAACACATGTGTATGCATTTTTGAATATAAAAGTTTTGTGGCGGTAAGTATATTGATTTTATTTCTTTTGTTGATAGTTTGTCCAAGGCTAGGGGACATTACTCTGACTCTACTCAGTCTTTGCTACGAGACTTAAGATTCCCAGACCTAGACCTAGATTCTAGATCTAGATTCTAGAATCTACCTACTAAGATCTACATTGCTTTAATCTAGTTCTAAGAGTATAAGTTCATGAATTAGAATATATTAGATCTAGATTCTAGATCTAAATTTTAGTGATCTAGATAAAATATTAAAAATATTAAGAAAAGGATGACGGTAAAAACTAAAACAACAGGAAAATGTCAAGATGAGGATGACTTCCAGTCTCACTCAGCCTACGACTTACTTAATACTTATTAATCGAATCTAGATCTAGATATTAGATCTAGATGTCTAGAACTTAGACAACAATGTTAATGTTAATAGACCTAGATCTAGAATAATCTAGATCTAGCTAGATTACTGAACTCTAGATTGATTCTAGATCTAGCTAGATTAGATCTAGTTTAGGTAAAACCTACCCTAGTTGTTAAGTTTAGTAAGAGCTAGATCTAGTATAGTAATGCCTAGATCTAGTAAGGCTAACCTGTTTTTAATTTTAAATTAATTTTTTTATATCTAGAATCTAGACTAGATCTACTCTAGCTATTTACTAGATCTAGATCAGTAGCCAGTAGAGTGATTAGAGTAGTAGTAGAGTGTAGTGTAGAGTACTGTAGACTATTGTAAAGTGTAGGTACTAATAACTAGACTAGACTGAAACTAAATTAGACTAGAATCTAGGTCTAGATCTAGATACATTTAGGGCTTACAGACTTATCAGACTACAGTGTTGCAATGAGTAGATCTAGATCTAGTAATATATAGATTAAATTTAGTTTGAAATTGTTACAGTAGTGCTACTACTTTTCTAAGTAGTAAGTAGTGTAGACTACTAGAAGAGCAAGATGATAGATCTCCATCAAGCTACAATAGAGTTTAGTTAGTAGTTAGTTAGTCATAGTAATAGTACCAAAAGCAGTGTAAGTAGCACAGTAAAAAAAAGTATTACTAGGCCATCTATTATTGTATTAGGCCCTTTTATTTTTAGCAAGTTAAAGTTTGGTTAAGTACTAGTCTTCTAGCAAGTTGCCTAGTAGTAAACTTATAAACTAGATCATGTGTATTAGTACTATTAGACTTGTAGGCTAGTCTTGTTAGTCTAGACGAGGGACTATAAAATCTACAATTGATAACTTTCGGCCTTTTAGTATAAGCCTAATTATTAATGAATTACAGGGTACAAAAATTAATAAATTGGTCAGAGTCAGTATGGTTACAGTTAGCTGTTAATCGAATTAAGTTTTAGATCTATTGACTACAATTTTTAGTTACAAGTAATGAAAATGAAACTAATAGTTTTGTAATAGTTAAGATATGGTTAACTGTAAACCAGATATTTTAGTTTTTAAGACAAGCTAAGTAGATAGAAAACTGAACCTTTACAATGAATTAAACCTTTTATAAATATAAATATATATATATATATATATATATATATATATATATATATATATATATATATATATATATATATATATATATATATATATATATATATATATATATATAATATAATATAATATATAATATATGGATAAACTTAATAATTTATTATATTTAAATTCCCTAGGTACTTGGCAAGCAATTTTCTCACACTTTACTGTGGCTATTGGTGCTGATCTTGAACTAAAGGTGAGCTGAATTTTTTTTTTATAATAAGCCATTTTTCAGCTTAAGCCCAAGTTCGAAATCAATTCAGTGTTCCAATTCTTAAAGAATATGTTGCTACTAAGATTATATACTGTAAGTATTAATATGTATGGCTTGATAGTGGGACTGTCAGACAGTAGCTTTCACATTTCTATCCTAAAAGATAAGAGTTCAGATCCCTGGTTTTAGTCCTGGTATGATGTCCTAAGTCTCATGAGTACCAGCTCTCATGAGTACCTGGCTCAAGATAGGGAAATTAAAGGTGGCTCTGAACACTCTAATTTTACATGCAAATGCCACAGAAACAGGTGAATTTTAATTCAACTGCTATATTGGCTGTCTGTTTTAATCAATGATTAATTTTTTCATATTACAGAAAGTTGTTAAAAATATTATTTATTTAATTTCTAGGTAAATGGAACAGCATGGATGTGGATTTTTAGACACAAGGAAGCTGAATTTAACTTTTAATGAAGAATTTAAATGATGATTGTCCATGAAAAGAAATATTAATCATATACATTGTAATGCTGTATTGATGCATCTTCTGTTTTAAGTAATTAAAAAACCATCCATTTATGAAATTATTTTCATTTTTTTTTTCAATTTTAAAACTGTAGTTCTGTTTTGTTATTTGAAAACAATGATGAAAGTATACTGAACTGCCATTGAGATATTAATATAAATGCTATTGTTTATAGTTTAATTCTTTCAGAAGCAACTATATTGACATCAAAACTGAATCTTTATTGTACACTAAGTATAAAAGCTTACCCGCAAACCAGTCCATGTCAACAATTTATTGACATTCAAACATTAAATTTTTTTAAAGGTGATTTTTCTTAAATAAAACAGACTACTTTCATATGGGATAAGAAACATTTAATTTTGAAATTGTTTGAGTTATTACATTTTAATAGAGCTGAAACTAAAACACTGGGTACAAATTTATTATTACTTTGTTTCTCAGAAAATTGCAAATTTTGAACATAAGAACTGTGGGAAGTAGGCAATGATGTTAAAATATCTCTTGAAACTTGAAGAAATTGTGGAAGGTTTAGAGATAGAAAACAACATTTCAGAAGATGATGTTTGAAATAATGGTAAAATATCTTTAGCAATTGTCACTGAATAAATATTTTCATTAGACAAATCACATTTAGATATAGAAGAATAAGGTATGTCTTCAGATTTTCTTATCAGCGAAGATCCTGGGTGATTCTCTTTGTTACCATCGGTCAAACGACAAGCCAATTCTGGAAAAGGTATTGGGTTCTTTGCCTGGGCAGCTAAATATATTTAAATTAAGTTCATGCAAGGCTTTAGAAACATCAATTGGATAAAACTCTATAATTTCATTAACTTTTTATTAATATCAGCTCCAAAGGAATAATATAAACAAGTTACACATCATCAATAAATCAAATTTGCAGATATTTCCATTTCACCAAACTTTCTCTAAGTCATAATATATATTTTAAATTCATGGCATTTTGTTAGGCTAGATATGTTGACTTTTATTTACCACAATAATCTGATTATATTATAAATTAGGATTACCCAGCTATCATACATTCTTCTTTTTACTGCCCTCCTTTATGAGGGGGAGGTATAAATCATCATAAAATGTGTGATGCAATTTACAGATGAACCCTCTCTCTCTCTACCCCTCCCCCTATATATATATATATATGTATATCTACATAATCTCTAAAATCATGTTGGTACCTCTACCTGTTTGAATGTTAGGCCCATTTCCTTAAACTGTTTCTGTGTGGATCTTCTCCATGGGGGTCATCTATAAATGACGTCACGCATTTTTTTGACGATTTTTACCCCCCCCCCCCCTCTCCACCTACACATCGTCACAAAAAGCCAGACCCCCACCCCTTAAAATGACGTCACACAGTACTAGATTCTAGATCTAAATTACTACAGTTGCCTACACTCTAGATTTAGTTCTTAAGTTCTACAACAAGACTATAAATTGATATTGAACATATTCTAGTCTACCTGTCTTAAAGTAAATAGCCTATTTAGTAATTTAGTAATTAATTCCACTCAACTACACTGTAAAATAAAAGAAACTAGATCTAGAATCTAGATCTCTAGACTACTCTTGAGTCTATAAATTAAAAATAAATCCTGTATGTCGTATGTTACTGTCTAAGTCGGAATTTTCAAGAGGGTTTTTTTTAAGTCATAGATCTAGATATAGAATTCTAGATCTAGAAATCTTGACTCTAGATCTAGGCTATATATATTTATTAATTAAATTAGGCTTGATTTCAGATTTACGATTGAAATCTTTTAGGCCTATAAATATCATATTATATAGATTATAGATGTATTATTATTATACAGGTTGTATTCTAGATTTATCTAGATCTATATAAAATATAATATATTTGTGTGTGTGTGTTATTTTAAACTTAATTTACTTAAAACAACTTATTGTCGGAGTTTTTTTTTAATTTCAAAAACGAAAGTAGATTTCATAACTTAAAAATAAATAAATAAAAAATATTCACATTTGGTTTGAAAAAACAAAAAAACGCCAGCTGGCAATTACCGGAGCGAGAACTTGGTAAGCTACTTTAACAACTTACAAGCCCATTGTCACTATTGAGTTGAGTGTTGCAGTTTTACTTTGCTATATATTACTATATAAAATGCTATTTTAATATATATATATATATATATATATATATATATATATATATATATATATATATATATATATATATATATATATATATATATATATATATATATATATATATATATATATAAATTAATTGGCAAGCGCTAAAATTATGTTTTAGCTGTCAAAAATTAAAACAAGATATCAAGTATCGATTTTTACGTGCGAGTTGACGAGAATCCTTCCGTAA